TCCAGGTGACAGTGAATGAAAGCCCTGCAGGTCACTGTGTGAAACCTTAACACTGATGGTTTGGGGAAAATTTCTGGTTGTTTTTTAAAATATACATATTTTTCTTAGGAGTGCAGTTCAAAGACAGTCCCAAAGTGGACAGTACCTAATCATTTGTCACTAGTCTGATCACTTAAGACTTCGTTTTTGTGCTGTGTTTGTGCATTTGTGTTCTTCAAGAAAAACCAAGATGCATTTTATATAATAAATCATGTAACAATTTCACATGCCTCCAGTCATTGTATAACTTGTTGTGACTTGCAAAGCCAGCAAATAAGCATGCAAGTAGTAGATTAAATTAGAATCACGAGGAAGTTCTTCTGGACATGGTTGCAGGCTTTGTGTGTGTGTTGTTTGTCATAGGAAGGTAAAACAGCTGTAGAAGCTTAGTTTTTGTTTTGTTTTTACACTTGTCTACAGCACACTGCGAAGGCGTGCATGTGTGTAAGAGAGGGAAGGCGATGAACGCCAGCCAAGTCATTCTTCTTAAAAATGGCGTCATGTGAACAAAACGCGAAAAGAGCGAGTAAGCAGCAGCTATCGGAGCAGTGTGGATATAATTTCTCTTACTAAAGCTGCGACGCGGAGCATCTGTTCTGCGGCCCATCGGCTTAACACGAGAGACAATAGACAGTTAAATATACGGGGAGAGGAGGGAGGGAGGGGGTGCTCCTGTCTGCCGCGGCTCCCCACACCGCCCCCGGTCCCCACTCCTCTCAGTCTACAGGCTTGTCAAGCAGAGAAATAAACAGAATCGGGCGCTGGGAAGTGAAGGTATTCCTCCCTCCCTCCCCCTCACTATCTGTGCATCTTCATCCAGCGCTTTCTTTCATGGAGAGGAATTATCCCGCTTCGGGCTTCGGAGATCTGGGGACTGGGACGGGATGGAGTTACGAGAGATCGGCCAAAGCAAGGTAAGCTTCGGTGGCCGGAGCATGGGGAGCGTTGTTTTCTGACTGCCGGTAAGCTTAAGAGGCTCTGACGATGCCGTGGCACAGCGCTGACTGCGCCGAGTATTTAGCCCGGCTGCACGGCCACCAGTCTCAGGTACAGCCGTCATTTCATTGGGGGGGAAGGTTAACAGTGATGCGGAGACGGGCGGAGGACAGGGGTGAACCGAGGGTTGGTAGAGGACGGTTTCGTTAGTGAAAAAACCAAAACAGTCCCCCCACATATACACACACATGTACATCAGTGTTACAGCACTGCATTGTCTCCGCTGCACACGAACAAAAGCATGACAGCCACCGGGCATCGTCCACACATTAAACCGTGTATGCAAACTAAACACTGTGCCAAACACAGGGCAGTCATGGATGTATACACGAGCCTTTATTCAGTGAAACTAACGTACTATTACCGTTGGCAGTTAACTGTAAAAGAGAAACTAATTCATTAACAATATCTAGAAGTCAGTGCGGTTGTTTGACTACAACATACAGGCTGGCAGCTACTATTAAGCTGACATTAGCCACTAGTCATTAGGCATCTTGAGCATTACCCAGTATCTGACTACATTTCTCCGGAGCAGACAGCATGCAGCCTGTCCCCGTCATAGACAGATTACCAACCTGCCCAATAAGGCGGTGACTTCAATCTTAAATAAGAAAAAGCAAAGAAATTCCGCTGCAGGCAGTGATCAACTGATTCCTCATATGGCTGTGCTGTTGTGTAAACGGGTCTTATTAAAGTTAGCAAGCTCCTGTTAGCCTAGCTGCACATTAGTTGTTGCCTTGGCAACAACAACAGTCTTAGAGCGCTTCTCTGTTAGCAACGGCTCTTATTAAGTATGGTAGTATGACTGTGATTTGAATAGATTAGTTATAGATTTATAAAAACAGATAAGGTAGAAGACTGATTCTTATGCCATCATGTGTATAATATTTGTCTTCATAATTTAAATGTAACGACATAAAGTCAGAAGTAAAGTCTTGTTCACAGCCAGATGTCCATGTTCATGTAATAACGTACACAGCAGCCTTTCAGTGTCTCACAGTGTAAACATTACATCAGACAACACTTGTTCCCAGTGTCTTTTCAGTGAATCCCTTCAGTGAAATTAAAAAAAATCATTCTCCGTTGAAAAGCACTTGATTCCCCCGAGATGCTGTATTTGACTCCTCTCTCAGTATTAGTCTCCTCCTTGGACTAGAGTGAAATGGGTGCACGCAGCACCTCCTTGTTTGCCTGCCACTCATAATAGACACATAATAAGACATCTGTTGACTGGAGCTAATAGCATGACTAATGTTTCTTCACAAGTCTGTAAATGGTAAATGGACTGGTTCTTATATAGCATAATAGACACATTTTTACTCTGCGCATACAACTAATTCATTCACCCAAGAACTTTTTCTAACATTCATACACATTCACACTCCAATGGATGCATTGCCCAAGGATACTTGACATGCAGATTGGTGGAGCCTGGGATCGAACCACCAACCTTCCAGTTAGTAGCTGACCTGCTCTATGACCTGAGTTACAGCCACCCCACCCCGCAAGTCTGTGTTGGGCTGAGCTCTGTTTTAGCTCAGTGAGATGAGTAGCCGTTCTCAGACTGGGAGGCCGGAGTTCAAATCCCGCTTATGGCAACATTTCTTTCAGTTCACAGTTAAACTTTTTAAACTCTTTTCAGCAGAATTTTCATTTTTTCACCCCTTTTCAGCACAAATCCCAGCTTTTTCAGCTGTTTTCAGCAGAAACCTCTTTCCAGCAGAAATTCTACTGATTCATCTGTTTTCAGCAGAATTTTCAGCTTTTTCACCTCTTATCAGCAGAAATCTCAGCATCTTCTGCTCATTTCAGCAGAATTGTCAGTTTCTCCATCTCTTTTTATCTTGAGAACCAGTTTGGCTCAGTGAGATGACTGGACACATTGTTTGCTGGACGTGGGTTATGTGTCACTGCGTTTCTCTGTGTGTGTCCATATTTGCAAATGTTGTTAGGTGTGTCATTTTTGCCTTACCTTTGTGTATCTGCTGGCTGTTCCATCTTGCTTTTCTAATGTTTCTGCCAATTTTTTCACAGTTGAACAAGTAGTTTTGAGGAAAGTTCAGCTTTTTTCAGCTGGCCATTTTACTTCTCCAATATTTCTGTTTAAGTTATTACTTTTCTGCTAAATTATAGCAGAAAAGATTTGTACCAAATCATAGTATTTGTGCTAAAACATAGTATTTCTGCCAAATCATAATCTTTTAACAAAATCACAGCATTTGAGCCTAATCATAGTATTTCTGCTATATCATATTATTTCTGCCAAATCATAGTACTTGAACCAAATCATAGTATTTTTCACTTGTTTTCAGCACAATTTACAGTTTTTTCACCTCTTTTCAGCACAAAGTTCTGCTTCTTCACCTCTTTTCAGCAAATTTCAGCTTCTGCTCTACAGTGCACATTTTTTCTCTAATCATATCTTTGTTTAAAACCAGAACTGGGTTGGCTCAGTGGGGTGAGCAGCTGCCGTGCGATAGCAAGGGTTCGAGTCCTACATGTGAGGGATGCTCAGTGAGATGACTGGACACATTGTTTGCTGGACGTGGGTTATGTTTTCAGCACAAATCCTAGCTTTTTCAGCTGTTTTCAGAAAAAGAAATCTTTTCATCAGAAATTCTGCTCATTCAACTCTTTTCAGCGCTTTTCAGCAGATTCCACTACAAGGCATTCACACAGCATATTCGCAGGAAATGCAAATTTTTCTAGTTATTCTAGTTGCTTCCGTACATTTTTTGCCGTGGAACTAGTCCCGCAGTTTTTATCAGATTTTCGCCGTTCAAATCTTAAAAAATTCTGCTATTTCTGCTAATGCCGGCTATGACTTTTGGTGCTCATAACTTCTATACTTTTTGAGATATTGATTTTTTTTGCTAAATTTTTGCCCATTTAAATGAATGGAACACATTATCAATGTCCAAACAACTTCTTGCTACTCGTTCAATTTCCACTCAACCCCCACAACCTATACATCAAAACGTAGGTATTTTTGCTGGCTTTCAGAAAATGTCACTATTGTTGTTGTGGGAGTTAGAGATTTTTTGCAAATCTCATCAGAGCAACACAAAGTCTGAAAACTCTCCATAGACAGTCAATGGAGAGTTTGTTCAAAATCCTCTAATGAGAGGCATTTTCAAATCGTCATATCTCCTTAACGAAGCAAAGTTGAGACACACACACACACACACACACACACACACACACACACACACAAACAGGAGTTATAAGGTTAATGGGCATTCAGTCAGTTAGCTAGTTAGTATCCATTTCAAACAGGACAGTGGTAACAACAGCAGGCTACAGACAATTTAAAGTTTTAGATTTTAAATAGGTTGTATACATTTCAATGGGAGCAACAGGACGGTCAAATGTCGCTGAATTTACTACAGGAGGACGGATTGTAGAGTAGCAAACATTGTCGGAAAACACGTTTTCAACACTGCAGGTTACCTGGTGTAATGCTTTTCAGCTAAAAGGAAACATGGTCTGACTCCTACCAACTATATAAAGAGTAACTGAAGGTTAAATACAGCTAACATGTCCTGTTTTAAGCCAGGCACTTACACCTCCGCTCCGCTGCGTGTCAGCCACCATCGCTCTGGCAGCAAGAGCGCTAGAGCCAGAGCAGGGGAGAGCTGGAACAAACTATTTTGGGAGGGGGGGTTATCTATACTTTTGTTGTTAAAATGTTACGTCTCAAACAAGTACAGTACTGTATGCTTTTTATATTTTTAGTAGTGTGTCACACAAACAGCAAATATTGTCAAAAAAAGTAAGAAATCTTTGGGGGTGCTTTGATTCATTTTGGGGGTGCTGAAGCACCCCCAAAAATGGGCTAAAATCGCCCCTGGCTCCATGTCAGAAATACAGGGTGGGCCATTTATATGGATACACCGTAATAACATGGGAATGGTTAGGGATGGCCAAGAAAGATGCCAAGCGGATTTACTTTACCAAGTAGATCATCATGGCCTTGCCATATTGGTCCATTTGACTGACCTTTATTATAATTATGTATTTATTTTATTTGATTTTCGGTTGTTACAGACGGGACAGACATGACTGGTTGATAAGAGAGGAAGAAAGAATGAAAGAAAGAGAGGGAGAGAAAGAAAAATAGAGGGGAGAAGAGATAGTGAGAAAGGGGGGAAGAAAAAAAAAGAAAAACAAACAAAACACCTGGATCACCTGTATGGAGATAAAAAAAAAAATAGAAGAGAAAACAAACAAAAAAGAGCAACATAATAAATACAACACCATCACAATAAACTAGCTAACAGTAGATAACAGTAGATACTAAATATTACATGTTATTGTGCAGTAAACAAGATCGACAGTGCACAATGTGCTTTGAGGTAGGAGCCAAGAAAGGTGTAGTTTGTGTCTGTGAACACCTGTGTGTACACCTGTGTGGATCAGCACGCTTGTATTGAAAAGGTTTCTCCATGTAACGATCTGCTAGGGAGTGTGGGGAGCCATAGCCCCGTCCCCCAGGGCATGAAGCAGGTATGGAGGAGATCCAGGCCCCAGACATCCAGAGGCCCCAGAATACGAGGACCCGAGGAGGACCACCAGGGGGGCAACCGTGCCAACCTCCTGGGAAGAGCTCAGGAGAGCCTCAAACGAGAGGTCACCCAGCAGCCACGGATCACAGGCCAGAGGGGGTTGCAGTGACGTGCCCATGGGCTGTGCCAGAGAGGACCGGGCCTCAGGCCAAGAGGCCAGAGGCCTGAGAGCAAACCATACCCGGACCCAGGAGATGTAACCCTTCTCTCTGGGGTGGAGGAAAGCAGACCACCTCCTTATCTGCAGTAGCACGGAGGTCCCGCATCTCAGACCACAATCCGACGGCCAGCACCTCCTCCCAGCCCCGATGGTTAACATAACGGGGGTGAGTGAAGACCCCAAACCTCCCTCC